GAAGCCGCCATGCTCTTTAGACTGAACTGTCGCGCTTCTCGTTGTGTCACACCTCAACCCGCCTCGAAGCCAACGCTGATTGGACGTTCGTTTGGTGAACGGCTCCAAATTTTCTTCAACAGAGAGTCTCCAGACTGATCTGCGAGTGAAACCTTGAAAGCTCGCGAGATCAGGATGGTCTCACGAGGCTACAAATTTGCTCCTTGTTAATACAGATCTAAATAAGATTTTAAGCGTGGTTTTGTTTTGAAAGCAAGCTGTTATCTCACCAATTGGAAGAAAAACATGGCTTCCTGCATGGCATGAAGAACATTACACCATTACAGTGTCAGAGTCCAAATTCTGATTTTCGGTCTGTTTTGTATGGATGGATTCTCAGATCTTCCCTTTTGACCCAGATCAAACACATCAAGGTCCAACCCCAGACCTGGTTCAGCTCAATTCAGAAGGACAAATTTACCGAAGGCTGCGGTTCAAAGGTGGCTCTGCTGATAGAGAAGAGGTCGCTGATGTCTGCACACCCAATATATGCAAAACATACAAGAACTTTAACTAGATTTGTTAATATCCGTGTTATCTTTATGAAATAGATATATTTTCAGAACTCTAAGCAGTACTCCTTCGATGGACTGGAGACCTGTCTGGGGTAGACCCCGCCTCTCGCCCGTAGACAGCTGGAGATGGGCACCACCACCTCTCATGACCCCAACAGGCTTCTTGATGGATGAGCAGAACTCATAGGTTCTGGTGTTTTCACTCTCTATAAACCTTATTGTTAAATTTCAGCGACATCTCCTGTCTCCATGGTGTCTCCTAAAAGCTCTTACATCAAAACAACAGACATGAAACCCTGCAACCATCTCAAAATAATCCTCCTGACATGTTTCATGGTCTGTCCTCACAGACAAACAGGACAGCTGATGTTTTGATGTTACTGACAGAAAAGTTTATTTGTCTTTCTGTGTATATGGCTTGGAGCCCAGTAATCTGAACTGGGTCAGGGTCACAAAGAGGAATAAAAACAGCAACAGGACTTAGTTTCAGAGAGAGAGACAGAGACAGCAGACACCGGAGGAGCCCAGAAACATGTCTAACTGTAGGTGATTTCTCTGGTTTTACTATATTCTAACATTCAGCAGAAATTCACAATTTATTAGAGAAGAGTGTTAAAGATAAATGAGCTCCACAGTTATTTCTGCTTCTTTTGGCTTCTTAAATGTTCAGGAGAAGTTTTTCTTATTGAGGTTCCTGTAGGTCCGTCTTAGAACATGCAGGACATAGAGCTGCATGTTATTTGATGCATTTAGGACTGATAGAAAGAGGAACAGTCTGAGGAAGTCAGCGTTTGAGGAGAAACCATTTCCATCAACATTACTGAAGCATGATTGTTACCCAGAACAATACGACATCATGGCGGCTCTAATGTTTGGATGGTCTAGGTCCTGGAGGGCCGCTGTCCTGCAGGTTTTAGAGGTTTCTCTGCTACAGCACAGCTGATTTACATTGATAGTTGATTAAGAGGCTTCTGCTGAACTAAAATCATCAGAATCAGCTGTGCAAAAGCAGGGAAATCTCTAAAACCTGCAGGACAGCGGCCCTCTAGGACCAGCTGTGGGGATGCCTGGTCTAGTTGGTCCTAACCTGAAGGAAACTCAAATTAAAACCTGATATCAAACAGCTAAAGTCCAAAAAAAAAAACAAAAAAAAAAAAACTGGAACCATCCTGGAGATCCGGTCCTTTGAAAACCACAGAAAGGTTCTGGGGACACAGATCAGACATTTACAATAAATGGTTCTATACGGTTCCCCTAAAAAAGTGGATTGTTTAAAGTTTCCAGATGTGATAAAAAGAGAGAAAACCTTCCTGCAGATGTTTTCTCTCTGTTTCAGGTAAGATGTGGAGCTTCTTGCTGCTGTTTACTTTATTCTGCTCCAGCTGCCACGGCTCTGTGACCTGCAAGAATAATAATGGCCATGACGTTGACTGGTGAGTAGTCTTTATTAACACTTTCTTCCTAACATTTATCTTAATCCACTTATGGTGGATGAGCTGACTGGATTTTATAAAC